CATGTTGTTATACACTTGACCGATGTTGTTGTAGGAAGTAGCCAATGAGGGATGATTCGGAGGTAGAGCTTTTTTCGTGATTTCGAGATCTTTTTCGTAAAATTCAAGTGCTTTCGGGTAGTCACCCATGTTGTTATACACTCCACCGATGTTGTTGTAGGAAATAGCCAATGAGGGATGACTCGGAGGCAGAGCTTTTTCTTTTATTTTATGTGATTTTTCGTAAAATTCAAGTGCTTTCGAGTAGTCACCCATGTTATTATACACTTGACCGATGTTGCCGTAGGAAATAGCCAATGAGAGATGATTCGGAGGCAGAGCTTTTTCGTAGATTTTATGTGATTTTTCGTAAAATTCAAGTGCTTTCGAGTAGTCACCCATGTTCTTATACACTTGACCGATGTTGCCGTAGGAAATAGCCAATGAGGGATGATTCGAAGGCAGAGCTTTTTCTTTTATTTTATGTGCTTTTTCGTAAAATTCTAGTGCTTTCGAGTAGTCAACCATGTTGTTATACACTTGACCGATGTTGTTGTAGGAGCTAGCCAAATCGTGATGATTCGGAGGCAAAGTTTTTTTCGTGATTTCCAGATCTTTTTCGTAAAATTCAAGTGCTTTCGAGTAGTCACCCATATTGTTATACACTTGACCGATGTTGGCGTAGGAAATAGCCAATGAGGGATGATTCGAAGGCAGAGCATTTTCGTAGATTTGATGTGCTTTTTCGTAAAATTCAAGTGCTTTCGAGTAGTCACCCATGTTGTTATACACTAAAGCAATGTTGTTGTAGATAGGAGCCAATGAAGGATGATCTTTCGGGAGAGTTTTCCGATAGATTTCGAGGGATTTTTTGTAAAACATAATTTCGTTTTCATATTGGCCCTGTTGCCATTTCACTCTACCTAACTCGTGATAGATATGTGCTCTAGCACTGTCGTTAGAAGCCTGTTCTAGTAGTGCCATGTACAATTCTTCAGCCTTGTCAAATTGATCAATTTTGAGCAGCAATTTACCCATTCGATACCATCCAGTGCCACCTGAAGATTCTTCTCGTATACGATTGGTTAATTGACGAAGCTGTTGGTCATCATCCGACGTAAGTTTAAGGTCCACTTGATAAAGTGGAATTTTCTTATCAATTTTTCGAACTTCACCGATTCGAAAGACGGTGTGCATCGAGAAAAGAATTTCCTCTTCTTGTGCGAAATCACTAACCTCCTTGATGGAGGCAAAAGGAGTCGATGAGACCATGGGGTCGATGGTCATTTGAAAGAGAACGCCAATCATTCCTTCTGTTCCTAAGGCATCTCTGGCGAAGCCGAGGGAAATATCACGATCTACACTGGTGGATAAAAAATTATTGAATGAAATGAGTCCACCTTTGCTTTTGACGAGTTTTTCGTGATCTACCTTTGATAATCCCTGCCCGCGATAAACAAGAAATGTCTTACCATGATATTGACTGACTTGCTTGGTGTGTAAAGCTTCAATTTGTCGATGAACATCACATAGATAAAATCCCATTCGGATGATAATATCACCGTCGAGTGTTCGTAATGCCCGATTGAGCATTTTGTATGTAAAACATTGGCGTGTATACCACCATAACGCCAATGTTGGATGATAATTACGTTGAAACTCATCGATCAATTTCAGTTCTTTGGTATTGTCCTTGTATTGCTCTTGGCAGAAGGTGACCAAGTCTTTTATGGCTTTTTGGCCATGTTCCATATCAAGGAGTATTTCCTTGAATATTTGTGTATACATGAAGGAAGGCTCTAGCTGATTGAGATTTTCGCTAGAACCTCCTTCATTGACACTGATAATACTGACCGTTACTTGATCTTGATTGCATTGTTTGACAGCTAGTGCCAATTTTTCACAGATGTGCTTGAAAGATGTATGCACACCTTTAATTTTGGGCCAATTTTTAGCCCATTCTTGGTGACGTTGCTTGTTGTCACAAAAGATATGTATGGCATCCAGTTTTGGCATGCCATGAATTTCTGGTACCAGGTGTT